TGGAGTCGAAGACGTCGATAACGCTGTTTAACCGCAGATTAGTGTTATGCAGCGTTTTTGGTGCATTTAAAATGCAACATTTAGCACTTTCGAACATATGTTTTCGAAGAGCGTTCATGCTATCGCATTTAGCAAATGTACATTTACGCGAGTTCGAAATCGTATGCTTTTGACAAACAGCCGTGTTCCAGTCGCTTATTCAGATCCGTATCCATTACGATAAATTCTCACGGAAAAGATAATGTGCAAAAACCCCTACTGAAAAGGAAAAATAAATTCTAAACCGAAAATTCAATACAAAAACCTGAATTGTTTTAACCATAACCGAACATTTGTTTGTGTATATATTCATTTGTCGGTGCTGCCAATTATATTTTCCACACCTAATTAGGAAACAAAACAAACAGAGTTGATCACAAATTAATCCAGATTTCTATCAGCATCATATCGATGTTGAATTTGCGTAACTTTTCTTTATCCAAATAATGTAAAATAATAAATGAAATCTCGATCGGCGATCACTGAAACGCAGCTAGCGGTTGTATACTCGAAAAAGCAATGTTGCCACTTTTTCTCATTAAACCATGTTCGAATCGTGGAAATTTCGGAAGATCACAGGGATGCTTTTAGCATTTAGATTCTAAATGCAAAGATTGAGTTGCATTTAGATGACGAATTTTGTATGGATAAATGTACATTTAGAGTAGCATTTAGAGCTAAATGCGCTAAATGTACATTTACGCGTAAGCAAAAACAGCCCATTAACCAGAGTTTAAGTAACCGGCCCTTAATGTTTATATTTTTTTTTATAAAAGTCTAGCAACACCATATAAATTCAGATTTCAAATTTCAAACTTTTTAATCAGAACCTATAGGAAAAATTGTGGTATGCAGTTTTGTAGCCTAGTATATTGCAATGCAAGTTTCAAGCTGCTAAAAAATGCCGTTGATTTTTGACAATTTTGTTTGGTGGGCAATGTCTTCCGTATAAAAGAAAATTGTCGAAAAAACTTGAAACACCTTCAACCAAAAAATGTCTCAAAAATCAACGCAATTTTTTAGCAATTTGAAACTTGCACTTTATTAGAATACAATCCGAGAATTAAATGGGCTACAAAACTGCATACCACAATTTTTTCTAAAGATTCTGGATAAAAAAGGTTTGAAATTTGGGTGAAAATTTGCGAAATTTTTTATCATTCGAGTTTTGACACTCCCTTAACTCTCTTACAAAAGGTTGCACACACACCCACACCCACACAAAGTACCTTGCTAAGGGAGCCGATTTTGTTAAGAGGGAACGAGAAAACTGTTTACCTTTTAAAATTGAATCATGCATATTCCTAGTCGGCAATAGTTGTGTTTTTTTTACAAATTATCCAGTAACTTGCCAGTAACTCTCCAGTAACTTTATTTCTAAGAATTCGCTCTCATAGAAAAAATTTGCAAAAAAGTACGCGAACGCTTTTCCAGTAATAATTTGCAAGTTTCATGAACAGCTGATAAATTGGTTGTTTATTCGCAGCAAATTCCTTATAAAACAATATATTTTGTATTTAAATAGGTTTATTTTGTGAAATTCAACAATAAAAAGCCACAAACAGTTTCCTTATTAGTTTAAATTTCATCCAGCAACATGCGCTCAGCTGTTTTTCGTACTGGCAAATTCTTACAAGTAAAAATTTATCCAGTAAAATCCAGTAAAAACTTGCAACTTCAGCTGTCATTTTTCGCTCTCTCAATTTCCCCTACTTTGCAAGTTTTTGCGTACGAAAACGCCAAAACATGAAAATTCGTAAAAACTTTTACTGGATTTTACTGGAAATGAGTAAAAAAACGCAACTAATGGCTGAACGTGGAAAGAAGCAGCCGAAAGGTCTCCGCTTCACAATTTTCGGCACTTGTCTGTACATACGTTTCTGACGCACACTTTAGCGGGAAAACGGATCGTCAAAGTAACCGAAAATGTAATCGGTAAATGGACAATAATCCGCATTTCATCCACTGTTTCTTTTGCTTTTTCGGATCGATTTTCGTATTATTTGCTGACTCAAAGCGCTCAAAGTTTTCTATGTATTTTTTATGGGAAAAATATCAGCCTTTCGTAGTAATGGTATAGAGTTCTTGAAAATCAATATGTGCCATTTCGAAAACTCTGGCTCTCTTCAGAAGACTTCCATTAATAATACTCAATTATTTATCAAACCATTTTTTAAAACTAAAAATGTTTTATTGATCCCCCAATCGCATTTGTTGGGGTTTTGGCGGTTGTTTGCGGACCTATAAAATATAGCTACTATAAGAAAAGATTAAATCAATTGCGTTTTATTACTGGGAATCTCCTGAAGATAAACAAAAAATATTGATTTTCAAGAATTCTATACCATTTCTACGAAAAGTTGATTTTTGCCCATATAAAATACGTGGAAAATTTTGAGCGACCTCTAAACATTTTTTGATATCAAAACAAAAAAATAGGGGTATAGTTTTTTTTGGGTATAGAACAATCCCAGGGGGTGAGAACATAGAAATTCCGATTTTACTTTTTCACATGCATTTATGGATCACCCTTATGTACATATAATCACCAAGTCTCCAAACCATCAAACTGTTTAAGAGCCTAACGACGGAAATAGATGGAAATGCCATTTATCGATAATGGGCAACGCGAATTAACAAAAGTTTAGGTTTTCGTTAAGGATTGGATTAAGTTAATTTCAAAAGAAAAATGAAATGTTACATACAGCGCAGATTTAAAGTGTTCATTGGAATGACAACAAAAAGTAATACTAGAAAAGGTGATTTGTTCCATTGGAAGTTGTGATACATTTCCGGAAGCACTGCTATTTATGTATATCCGGTTGACAATTGTGGAAAGGTTTTGTATATGCAACTTTATATCTGCAATTAATATCTCTTAATTAAAAATACAATAAAAACATCACTCTATAAATAAATAAATTTTATATGTACCTGCATATGTAACTTCATTTGATTATAGCCGCGCATAAATGGCGGAATAGGTAATGGCTTAAAACTAAAGAGACAACACTGGTCTCTTTTAAGCCAAGTTTGGTGAGAAACAACTGAATGCTTTGTGGCCAAATACCGAGGCGATCGCTTTGAAAATCGGCCAAGCGCAGTCGCAACCAATCTTCGAGTGTAAGCGCATGTTTTTAACCAGCAAGTAAGATTTTAATGCTACCGCAAGTGCAACTGGAAAACGGAGCCCACATGCATACATACATACATACATACATTCATATGTGCAAAGTACAAAGATAAAGTGCTATGCATATAAACATGTTTTGCTTAGTTTATCCATAGGAAAAACAAGAGAAGAAAATATGAAGTGAAGTGATAAGTGTACAAGTACATATCCATACATACATATACATATACATATATATGTATGTATGATGAGACTTTCACTGTGCTAAAGTCAATTGCAAAACAACTTTAATTTATAAAAAAAAAACAATAAGATGGGTGTAGAAAAATAAAGAAATATTAGCGAAGAAACTTAAAAATGTGAGAATGCAACGAAATTGATTTCTTGACATAGTGCAACAGAAGCCAGCAACAACAACAAATCGTAGACATTTTATGTAGTTGTGTTAAAGTACCACAGTACCGACAGCAAAGCTGCCGAAAAAATTTCCTGTAGTGGATTTATAGTTAAGCAGCATTTAATAACAAAAATTATATAAATCTGCATAATTCAAAAACAATAGCTAAATATTAAACACATACAAACATATGTATGTACCTATCTACTTTCTTACATTTCCGCTGAACCCTCGCAATTGAGAAGTTTCAAGAATCAAGATATAGAACTTATTTAAAAAAAAAAGTTAAATTAGCAAATGGTGGCGCTGAGAGGCAAAAGCCACAAAGGCAGCAATTTGCCTTATACATACATACTTACATATTTAAAGCTTTGCCGTTGATGAAGCCGTTGCTCATTGCAAATAATTAAAGAAAACTGTGGTAAACTATGTACAGTTACTGGTGTCTATTTCAATTTCTTACTAGCATCTCTTAACACACATACATACATTCATATTGATGTAGAAACTCTGCAAAAAGTGGTACTAGGTTAAATACTAGTACAGGACCACGCTACCTTGTAACCAACACCAGTAACCAAAATGGTCCAATTACATATATATAGAGAAAATATGGTTACATTAACATTGCGATGTCATTGGACCTAACCACCTCTGGTCCAACGCGCTGCATAACATGGGGGCCCACCTAGACAACTACTCCTTTTGGACCATGGCACTTTCGGCAACCGAATCATATTGCCGATGGGCACTGGGGAGGTGGTGTTCAACACATACATATATCAGCGTTCTACGTTTGAAGTGGTCCAGGTTAGCATAACAAGTTACTAGTATGCAACCTGGTCCGCAAATTTTTGCAGCGAGCGTCCACATATTACGTGCACGCATATACACTCACATTAATTCGAATTAACTTTATATTCTCGAGGCATTTCTTCATACATATATACATATGTACATACTAGTTGATTTAAAGCCGAGAAATGTGGATAGGTGGGTTGACAAGTTGGTGCTGAACAGACAATGGCTAATAATACCAGCTCTGGTTGCAAGTAGTTTACTTTTAGGAAAGGCGGCGGCGGCCATAGTAATCAACTGTAATCAAATATTGCATTGCATGCAACAGCCGGCCATATCTGCAACTCTCAATAGCTTCTATAATGAAAAAATTATTAAAATACTTTGTTGTTCATTATAAGCTGCAGCCTTGTAGCGTCATCGAGGAACGATTAAGAACAGGTGCGCTGGCTGGCCTAAGCCATACCGCCATGGCAGCTACAACGAGTATTTGTCAGTGGTTGTGAGTTGGCTGAATGGTTGGCTGGTTGGCTGGTTGCCGTGTGGGGGCATTAGCAGCAGCAGTCGTCGTCGTCGTTTGCGCTAATGAAATCGTACCATTGTACTGCAGTTAAAGTCAAGTTATATGTACATATGTATGTATGTATGTTTGTATAATAACAGCTAAAGCAACAACACGTGTAATAAAGGCAGATAATTTTCTTGGGATCTGCAAATTTTTGGTGTATGGTGAAAAGCCAACAAAGCAACCGATCTACTGCCAAATGAGTAGCAACCAAACTTAGCTTAGAGAAATAATTCATTGAGTACCGTTGGCAGAGGAAGCAACCAAGCGAAAAGAATGGATTGGAACAACAAAAAATACAAGCAGGCAGTCTTCGCTAGATTTGGCTGCGTCGATAGTTTCGTGTTCTTTCTTCTTCTTCTGTGCGAAGTTTCGCCAACAATTTTGAATCAAATACAGTTAGTCCGTTCGGAACTCGGTTCTTCTATTGTATTTACACGTCTCGACTTTCCTTGTCAACCCATGGATAGTCCATGTGAACGTATGACTTGATTTTTAAAACATTCGATGACGTTAAAAGAGGCATATGACTCCCTATTACACCTGCTTTGGAGTGATTCACCTATGCGTACGGTGACCATTCCCGCTGAATATTAAGTGTCCCGTTTATTTATATTTGTACCGATTAAGTCCCGATTTTCAGTGTTTTATTTGTTAATTTAACAAGAGTCTTCCTGTACTCTGGCCCAAAAACAATTTTTTTTAATAACGTCGCAGCACTTTCTTTCACAAAGAACATTGAATATAGGGAAGCCATAAACATAGCCAGCATCCTTATTTTCTATGAACTTTGGTTATGTTTTATTCTGTCAAACTGGTACTCTTGCTTTATTGCTGTCATAATTTGTTAATTATTTAATGTTTATTATTTTTTATGAAAGTGTCGTTATATAATAAAAACCATTTAAATCAAACTTTGTACAGAAATTAGCAAAAATCGACAAGTTAAAGCAAAGTTTTGAGATTTTTATTTAGAAACTTTCTGAGTATGCAGTTTTGTAGCCAACTCAATTCTATTAAAAAGAAGTGTAAATTTGGTAAATTTTTTGTGGAAGGACCTTCCAGGAAGGTGTTGTCCATTTTCCCCATAAAAAAAAATGTCGTACATACTTTTTATGGAAGAAAATGCGCGAACAAACACTTGCCAAAAATCAACGGTATTTCCAAACTACTTGAAATTGCACAATGTTATACTAAAATTTAATGGGCTACAAAATTGCATGCACAAAAAAATAAAAAAAAAATCTGATTACAAAGTTTAAGATTTTGATTAACATTTGTTCGTAGAATTTTTGTACATGTTCTACAAAGTTTAAAATCTTGATTTACAGTTTTTTTTGTAGATATTTGTAAGCTATATTTTAATAAAAAGGTCATAAAACATTTTTTAAACATAGAAAAGTAGCTAAAACTTGCCAAAATATCTTTATTGTGTGGATACATTTTTGAAAGCACTTTTCAAGTTTTTTTCACCTTGTTTTATCTTAAATAAAACTATATTAAAAGATGTTATGTCTTTTTATTTTAAAAACCAAATTGTATGTTCGGATTCGATGCTGTAGAAGTGTCCCAATTTTGGTCCACAGAAATCTGGTCACCGTACCTATATATGTATGCGTACAGTTCACGAATCTTTCTCTCTATTTGATCAAAAACTTTTTGTTGTAACAGCATACAAATCCTCCCAAGAGTTTTTGGGTGTGTTGCTGGAGTGACAGTCCTTGGGCAGATATAAAAGTAGCAGCAGATTGCCTGGTCTCCAAGCTGACAATGTTGGTGATATTTTTGCCGACAACTTCTTAGCAGAGAAATTCTATGAATGTCGCCAGAGAGGCAATTTTCTATAACCTGGAGAAAGACGAGCGACTTAAGAGAAAATTTCGACCATTAATGAAATCAAGCAGAAGCTTGATAATAGATGAAGAGACAATACATAGTGTCCTCAATTGACTATTTCGAAGCTAATATAAAAATGTGAAATTATGTATGTAAATGCAGTGATACCTTGATAACTCAATACAACAAAATGTTAACTGAGTCTCCAGAAAAAAACCTCGTTTTTGCGAAATTTTCGACACAAAAATACTCCATAGATATGTATATCGAATACATATACATGTTTACGGTTAAAGTCCCGCTAGCAAAAGCCTCTATATAACGAAGTCTCGACTCAAAACCCTCTACAAAATGAATTCTGAATATTTTCATGATTAGAGTGCGTTAAGAAAGCTACACTTACGATTTATTTTTAACAATTTGCATTTTTCGTTGAATCGAGGTTTTGGTATTCTATAACTATAACGAAACTATAGATATAACGAAGCATTTGTCCAACTCATTTTACTTCGTTACATCGAGGTTTCACTGTACACGTGTCTTGTATAAATTTGTTTGGTAAATACATGATACAAATATTTAAAGGTAGTTTCAGAAATTGCTCCCATTTGACATCTGATTTGTGCTTTTGACATTTTCTCTTAAATTGGAGCTACCGTATTCTTTGAAGAAATTAAAAAGTGTTTTTTACTTAAAAAAAAATATTTTCAAAAGATTTATGTCTAAATTAAAAAAAACAAAAGACAATAAACAAGTGCTGTTTAGTTGTTCCAATAACTTTTCGGCAGAAAATTTTCAGCCTCGGGACGGATATGCCCAATCTGAGAGTAGTGTATCCGTCTATAAACTATATAACAAGGAGCTCCAAGAATTGTGACACTTTTTTACCTCCCTCTTCATGACTACATACATCATGCGTTATCACAAATAAGTTGGCCGTAAGCTACCACACCTTTGTCATATTTCCACTAAAAAGGATCCAAATCGTAGCAAAATCCTAATATCTAAATTTTATAAAGTACCAGATATAATAATATTTCATGTAACGTTGCAGATAATGCCACATTTTTTGCGGTAAGGTAATTTAAGGTATTTTAAATCAATACACACTTATTAACAACTGTGCTAATATTATGAAATAAATTTACCTTGTGTGTTATTATTTTTAATGCATAAAAAATTCCTTTAAAAAATATTAAAATTTCCAAAACAATAATTTATTCAGTTGGCAGTGCTACTTGAGCAATTTACGAGAAGTATAAATGTCATAAGCACAGTTTCTGTAAAAAAAGATATCAAAGCGAAACTACCTTCTTTTTTGTATCATGGGTAAATAATTGACTATAGGGTAGCAGTTTACATAGGCTCAGTGGGTAGACCACTCACTAGCTGATGTCGCTGATTTGAAATAGCAGCTATAATTTCTATTATATTTTGTGTTTTCCACAAAGACTTTCATTAAAAATGGCCTCAAACCCAATAAAACTTTTCGTTAAGTTAAAAATTTTGCGCAAAACTTAAAATGAATTCATAAAATTTCCATCAAAACGAATTAAAAAATTATCGAATTTTTTCTTTTATATGGAACACCTACAATAAAAAAAATGCCAAAAATCAAATTTGCCAAAACCCTACCCCAAAATTTTCTAAAAATTCTGAATAGAAAGAGTGAAATTTTGATGGAAGTATGGGGAATTTGTTTAAATTTTGAACAAAGTTTTAAACCTGGATTTGTATGATTTCTGTTATTAAGGGTATACGGG